GGGGGGAGGAAAAGAAAGAAAATGGATGTGTGACACACCCCAACCTGGGACCCAGGTTATTCTTTACATATCCAGAAGGGGTATCCAAAGAATGACCTGTTTCCACCACCCAAAGGGTCCACCCACCCAAGAGGAACCCAGGTCATAACCAAGTCTGCTCATACTCCATCTGAAGAGTGACTGGAGTGTGAACAACCAGGTTATGACCAAGAGAGAAGGAGGAGGCAGAGAAGAGAAGAGTGAACAGCAAGAAGGGGAGGAGGGGGAAAGAAAGAAGGAAATGGGTGTAAACACCCCAACCAGGACTTAAATCAGAGTCTACATATCCAAAAGGGGTACATAGAGTCTGATTTATTTCCACCACCCCAGTAGCAAAGCCAAAGGGGTCCAACCACCCAACCCAGGATTCAAAACATTCTAGAGTTATTCAAAAAGGAATAACCAGAGAATGTTGAGTATCCAAGCCACCAACCACCAAGGGAAAACATCCCCCCTGATCCCAGGGAACATATTGCTTATCCAACAAGGGTAAGTACTATGTAACCTGTTATCCACCAACCAACAACCAGGAGTAAAAACCCCACCCATGGTACATCATTAGCCTAATCAGACTAGATAAACCAGTATGATAGAGTCAATGATGTACCAAGAAACCAGGTTAAGTGGTTTAATGAGAACATCATTAAAACACTTAAACCCAATCAAGCCAACCAGTCACAAGATCAAAGAGAGAGGGTTTACAGTGCAATATTGGGATAGAGCCTGTAGCAAATCTTATAGACCCCCACCTTAATTTTCCAAGTAGTTGCATCACAGTCCACACTCTTACCCTCAAAATATACAGCATTTCTCAACTTCCAAATATGATGTATGGTGCTCATTGCTGCTAATCTCCAGATGTTTCTCAGGTTGCCATGCACTCTATGCCTTCCAAGGAGCCATTTGATGACTCTTTCAATAGTTTAGAGTGCATAAGGAATTTTAAGCCAATCTTTCACATTCTTCCAAATCTGATGGGAAGCAGTGCAAGCAAAGAAAAGGTGATCAGTGGTCTCAAGCTCTTGTCCACAGAGGCTACAATTCCTATTCTCCATGGGGATAAATCCCAGATTCACCTTGGTTGATAACCTTCTTCTGATGGCAAGCCAGGTTGTAACAGAGAATCTGGGTGGAATGTAGCTTTGCCAAATCATTTTCATGCAGGGTTTAGGAGGCAAATGGACTCTCAGTAAATCATACACCTTTGCTGTGCAGAATTTTCCATCTACAAGGAGTTCATCCCAATCCACTTCTTGATTCTGATCAGTACCAAGCTTCTGGGCTAGATTGTTTCTCACTTCTGCAAGCTTTTTGAAGAAGTGTGAATCCCCATGTTTAGGGATCCAGGCCCAAACATCTCTGTCCTGAAGGTAGACACTGTGAACCCACTGAACCCAGAGGGTTTCTTTTCTTGAAGCAATGTTCCGCAGATTTTTAGCCATAAGTGCTTGATTCCAAACTTCTGAGTTCCTAAGTCCAAGTCCCCCTTCCTCTTTTGGTTTGCAAATATCATCCCAAGCCACTTTGTAGAATTTGTTTCCCCAAAGGAAGGTTCTGCAGATGGAGGTTATCCTGTTAAGGACAGATTTATGGATGGGGAAAGCTTGAAGCCAAAAACCTTCTATCCCTTGGATAACACTCCTAATAAGTTCAGCTCTTCCAGCAAAGGTCAAAGTCTTTCTGTTCCATCTTCTTATATTATCATCAACAGTTTCAATCAATGGTGCAAAGTCCCTCTCTGATGCCCTTTGTGAAGTGAGTGGCAGTCCCAGGTATTTAACTGGTAAAAGTCCTTCAGGGAAATTCACCAAGTTGAGGATATGCTGCTTATTCCCTTTGATTTGTCCTGCCAAATAAATGTTTGATTTATGTGCATTGACATGGAGGCCTGAGACAGAGGAAAAATGCTTCAAGGCATCAGCAAGGACCTGGACAGATTTTTTGTCCCCTCTAGAGAACATCATGATGTCATCAGCAAAGGCAATGTGTGTTATCTTCAGGGAGGAGCATTTAGAGTGGAAGTTAAATCTCCTCTCTCTTGTCATTCTCTTCAGAAGTCTAGAGAGGTATTCCATGCAGAATAAGAACAAGGTAGGTGCCATGGGGTCTCCTTGTCTGATTCCTCTTTTGCACTTGATGAAGCCATGAATTCCACCATTCAAAGATAAGGAAAAGGATGCAGAAGATACACATTCCATTATCCAAGCAGTGAACTTAGTAGGGAATCCAAGGCCAGTCAGAGTATTCTTCAAAAACTCCCAAGAAATAGTGTCATATGCCTTGGTTATATCCACTTTAAGCATGCAACAAGGAGGACTTCTTTTTCTGGCATACCCTCTAACCAAGTGTTGTGCCAGCAGTATGTTGTCCACCAGACTTCTCCCACCCACAAAAGCAGACTGTGCTTGATCAATGATTTCAGGAAGTATGTGACTCATTCTGTTGGACAAAATCTTAGTGATGACTTTATAGATAACATTGGAGCAGGCTATGGGTCTAAAATCCCTAACAGTAGGGTTCACTTTAACTTTAGGGATCAAGGCCACAATAGCATGGTTGATTTGCTTAAGAATTCTCCCACTAATAAAGAATTCAGACACTGCTTCATACAGAT